TGTCACAGCTTGGGGTGTCCCATCTGGGGTGTTACAGCTTGGGGTGTCCCATCTGGGGTGTCCTATCTGGGGTGTCCCAGCTGGGATGTTGTGGTGTGGGGTCCTGTCCCGGGAGGGGCAGCGGGGCGGGTGTGAGCGCTGTGCTGGGGCTGTGTTTGCTCAGGCACTGTCTGGGTGCTGTCTGGGTGCTGTCTGGCTGTCTGGGTGCTGTCTGGGTGCTGTCTGGGTGCTGTCTGTCTGTCTGGGTGCTCTCTGGCTGTCTGGGTGCTGTCTGGGTGCTGTCTGTCTGTCTGGGTGCTGTCTGGGTGCTGTCTGGCCGAGCCCCAGAGCAGTTTATGGCCCTTCCCCGCTCTGTCCAGCCTCTCACAGCCCCCTCCACGGCTGACTGACCACGACCACGGGGTGGCTTTCCCACACTGCTCAAAAATCCCTGCGAGTGTCAGCAAGTTCCTCTTTTGTTTTCTGTTCTTTTCTGTGAACTAATGAGCGCTGCCTGATTTCTCAGTGTCATTTGGCCTGTCCACGAGCGCCCTGGGCTGCTAAGAAGGAAAAATTCCTGTTTTCCTGAGCGAGGTTTGGGGCAGCAGAGGTGCTTTTCCCCGCAGGCTCACGGAGATTTTTACCTTCCTTCTGGCCACGGTGCTGCTTGGTGCCTTCTGGCTTGTAGCTGCTGGTGGCATCTCCGCTTGTCTTCTTCATGAGTTTCTGCTTGGATCCTGGCGTTAAAGATGTCTGATAAGTGCTATTTTCAGAGGAACAGGTCCACTCCTGAGCCCACCCCACCCACGGGTGTTAATTCGGTCCAGCTGGGTTGTCAGGGCAGGACAGATCCCAAAATTAGGAGGGAGGGAGGGAGGAGGTTTTTTTTCCCCCCCTGTTTGCCAAGAGGGGAGAGCAGAAGCTTTGCCTTCACCCGTGCTCAGCCCCGAGGAGTGACCCTGCTCCCCGGTGGAACAGTTCCCGCAGGACTGAGCACCGGGAGCCGTTGTTTAATGACGGGGAGGACTAATTAGGCGTCAGCCTTGAAGCGTGGGAGTGAAGAGCAGCAGGAGGAGCCTCCTCCTTATTTCCCGCTGCCTCAGTGACTCCAGGCTGGAGGTGGAATCCCCTGCGCTCAGAGGGGATGCTGAGGCAGGGGAGAAAGGACATTTAGAAGGCTTTTGCTGGAGGGGAGGAGATGCTGGAGTGAAGAGAAGGAAGGATGGGAATGAATAAGCTCAACCCCCCTGAGAGCCCCTCCCGGCTTTAATCTTGAAAAGGGCTGATGAGAGGGAACCCTTTGCAAGGTGCTCGAGCGAGAGATCGCTGTTGCCCTCCTTTAATTAGCACCTGCGGCGCCCTGTTAATAACACGCATCTTGTTCAGACGCTTGAGCTTTAGTGAATTCGTCCAGCCAGTCCCTCGGTGACGAGGAGGAGCTCGCTGTCGGATTTGGAGCTGGGAAGTTCCGGGAGCTTGCTGAGATAGCTGGTCAGAAGCGATGGGTCTGGTTTGTGGGTGATGAAGGAGGAGACTGGAAAAAACAAAAATAACTCCTGTAGTCCTTCGTGGAAGGCTGGTCAGAACCTCCACCACCTTCCCTTGGGTTTGGCCAGCATCTCCTCCCTTTCCCCGGCCCTGCTGCTGGGGAGAACCTTCCTGCACGGGGTGTCCTTTTCCCTGCAGATTTATTTACCTTCCTTTTCCCCTTCCCTCCTCATTTCCCACCTTTTCCCTTTGACTGTGGACTGTTTCTCTCCGGCTGTCCCACTTCCCCCTCTGCTCGATCCTTGCATTAGATAATTGCTGGCTTGCAAAAAAGAGGCTGTAATTAGTTTTGCTTTCCAACTAACAGGGAGCGGGCAGGCTTTCTTTGCCAGACTGGCTCGGTGGCTGCTGGCAGATGCTCTTCAGAGGGGTATCCCTGCCCTGCCTACACAGTCAGATGGGCTGTGTGTCTTTATTTTAACCATCAGCTGGTTCCCTCTTCAGGCCGCTGCTCCGTGCTGCCCTGGAGCGTGACGTTTCTCCTCCACCTTTAACTGGTTGGTGGTCGCTCGGTGGGTGGCACGGGGCATCTGCAGGTGGGTCTGCAGTGTTAGAGGGTGTTTGGGAGCAGGACAAGGCCACAGTCAGGCAGGAGAGATGCCCTTGCCCCTCTGAGATCCGTAAACACCTCGCGGGGAGATGTGGTAGGTTGAAAGCTTCGAGCTGATCGCCTGGAAGGAGAAGCCCAGCTGTTTCCTAGGAGCGTCAGGCCTTTCCTTCCTTTCTGATTCCAGATGGAGTGCTTGCAGGTTAAAAGCGATCCCTGGCCCGTGGGCCACCCTCTCACGGTCACCTGCTGCTGGAAAATGACGTTTTTGTTAGGACAATCCCACAAATACCGAGATTCCTCCGGCTGAATCCGTATCCCTGCCCCCAGCAGATGTTGGTATTTGCCTTTTCCAGCAGCGGGGTGCCCGAGCAGTTTCGGTCGTCACCGCGACCAAAACTTCTTCAGGAAAATTAAAATTAAAAAAAAATCAGCGAAGGGGAGAGAGAGAGGAAGAGTTAACAGTTCTTCTGCGCCTCGCAGATGGAAAAAGGGACAATTAAGCAGCTGATAAATGCCGGCGATTGGAGGGGGATAACTAATGAGCCTCCGAAAGGTCACGGGTTTTTAGCTCACGGTTAAACCTTCAGCAAGCTGCGCTGCTATCAAATGAATCCATCTCCTCTTCTCTTCTCTTCCAGGGGAGAGGCTGAGACCTGCTGAGGGCACCGGAGCTCCTCGGGTAAGGCCGGAACGATCGGGCGGCGCTCGGCCCCGCTGGGGAAGGTGCTGGCAGCGCAGACGTGGAAACTCGCTGCTCTGAAAACCACCAACAAACCCATCTTCTGATCTGCAGAACATTGGTGCTGCCCTCGGGGTTTCTGCGTGCGGTGATGAAGATGGGGCCTGCCTGTTCCGGAGAGGGAGCGGCGAGGAGGGCGAAGCTTTGCTGACGGCCGGGGGAGCACCAGACGGTGCCTGGATGCGCTTCGCTGGTGGGGAAGGCACCGCCAGGACCCGCGGGCGGGGAGGGTTGGGGGCAGCGGAGGGGCCATGGGGCTGCTCTGGGCTCTGCCCCCGCGGCTACCCCGGCACTGAGACGTCAGGGACCGCCGGCCCGGCGCTTCGGCACCGCCTCCGGGATACCAGGCAGGGGCTGAAAAATGTAGCGGCGCTGATCTCCTGGTCTCAAGAAAATAAAAGAACCTTCCTGTTGTGCTAGAGATCGCTGGGGCTGCGTGGGAAGTCTCTTCCAGCCCAGCTCAGAACATTTTATTTCCCTCTGTGTGTGTGTGTGCTCAGATTTACTTTGCGTCACCACGGAGGTGACGGGCTCCGAGAGACGCCACCACCCCGTAAGTTGACGATGAGGGGCTCGGTTCCCGGCGGCGTTTCCCACCTGGCAGCTCCGCGACCCTCCCGACCCTCCGAGTGACGAGGGGGGGGAGTGAGAGGAAGCCGGCGATGGCCGAGAAGTGCGACTGCATCGCCAGCGCCTACGGCTACGACCTGGGCTGCCGCTTCGGGAACTTCCGCCCCCTGGGCTTCGGGGCCAACGGGCTGGTGCTGTCGGCCCTGGACAGCGAGAGCTGCCGCAAAGTGGCGGTGAAGAAGCTGGCGCTCGGCGACGCCCGCAGCCTGAAGCACGCCTTCCGCGAGGTCAAGATCATCCGCCGCCTGGACCACGAGAACATCGTCAAGGTCTACGAGGTGCTGGGGCCCAAGGGCGCCCGCCTGCGCGGCGACTTCTTCAAGCTCAACGTGGTGTACGTCGTGCAGGAGTACATGGAGACCGACCTGGCGCGGCTGCTGGAGCAGGGCAAGCTGGCCGAGGAGCACGCCAAGCTCTTCATGTACCAGCTGCTGCGCGGGCTCAAGTACATCCACTCGGCCAACGTCCTGCACCGCGACCTCAAGCCGGCCAACATCTTCATCAGCCCCGAGGACCTGGTGCTGAAGATCGGCG